TTTTTTTTTCTGAAAATTATTTTCCTGGTCAATGTTAAAGGATCAGGCAAAACATTCTATACAATGTCAGCAAAAAAAAATGTATGGAGATATACCTTATGTTAAATAATACAATATTACTGTTAAATTAGTATGAAATAAAAACCTAGATACACTAACATTGCTTCTATATATTTATCATCACAGTTATAACCTACTTTTATGTATTTGTGTATTTTGTCAAAAAAGTTAATAAATAGGCAAGAAATAACTGCCTACAAGAGAGAATACAGAAGATGTGTTTCATTGCTACTCCGAAACTCCCCAAAGCATATTCAATAGAAGGAACTGACAATCTGCCTATTAAGCATAATCCAAATACAAATCCCACTGCTTATTTGCTTATTTTCTCCCATACAGTAACAAAATAAAACTATCCAAACAAACCGCATGCATATAATCTACACCCTAATAATAATTCTGTAATTTTGAACAAGTACTTTCATCCTTTGGTCTTGTCTAGTTTCACAAAAGAAAAATAGACCATGATATTATTGTACTGAGAATATCAAGAGTGGTAACTTAAAGTGCAGGACTACTGTTTGTATGGTAGATGTACCAATTACTTTTTCTAAAGAAATCAGTATTTAAAGTCTTACCTCTTCAGCTGGTTACAAAGGAGAAAGTATGATTCTATAGCATAAGCAACTCCTTTGTTTGTCCCCAAATGCAACTTTCTAGATTGCTGCTGAGCTACGTGAAATGTGAGCTTACCTGCTTACGTAGCTGTGTCGATTTTGACAACTTCATGAAGGTCAGATGTGGTTTAAAAGCTCTTTCTTCTCCTGCCAAGATGCCCTTTTCTTGAAATATCTTCTTCATAGTCTCTGAGGGGGGAGAAAAATGTAGAGATACAAAGATATTACAGGATAGAATGCTTAAAAATGTGCCTTCAACTGTAATGTAAGCCACAGCCGCTCCACATGGAAGAAACAAGATGATAAGTACTAAAAGGCAGTGAGATTTCTAGTTAACTTCAAAGGTATTTCATGTGAAAATAGTCTTATATTTACAGTTAATATGGGTCACAAATTTGGCTTTACTAAAATAATGGCAATTAGAAAGCTGTCCATGCTGTCTGCTTTTGCTATCAAAATAGGAACATGACATTAGAACTGTTCAGGAGTTACTCTCACTGGCAGTTTTGGAAACTTCAGGAAAACTTGTGAGTATGTAACAGAACTGTCTCTCTTCAAAAATACTACTTAGTGGTGAGTTCTATTATCTGTATTTGGGTAATCTCTCACTCAGACCAAAGGAAACCTGAAATTGAAAGCTCTAAGTTCTGGCACTGGATTTACATGGCAGAATTAGAGAACATATCAGGTATGCTGATGATTGTTTGGTTTTTTAAGCTGCACTGCTGCCTTCCAAGCTGATTTCCTATTTTTAATGTACATTTTTATCTGTTTACAGTCTAGGCCAAAGCAACTCTACTACACTGACCTAGTTACTATTTCCCAACTCATCTGCCCAATGTAATGTTTCATTTCTCAAAAATAAATTTCAGCATAACTTTTGAATTAGGTTCCATATTTCTTTTAGCTGAAATACTTTACACAAAAGAATTTCTGTTATAATTTTGAAAAAAAGTTTAGACAAAATTAGTAAAATCTGTGGCAAAAATAACACCAGTAACTAGAGTATTTCTATTCCTGAGAAACAGAAAAACTGCAAAACCTGGGTTTTTTCTTTGGCAAATACAACTTCCAATTTTTCACTAGCTGTAGGTCTAGCTGACTCATACTATCCTTGAACTAAAATCAAAATAGAGGGAAAAAAAAAATCAATCCTATCCAATGAATTTAATCGACCCTTACCATAATGATGTATTTGCATTTAAGCGTATTATTTTTTGGCTTGATAGTTCAACCGTAACAGAAAGATACAGTGCTTTGTTCTTCCACCTGGAAGAAAATGCATTACACTGGGAAGCAAACAGCACGGCTGGCTGAAAAAAATAGGGAAGGCCCAAGGAAGAGGAATACAGGCATATAAAGGTGGCTAGTAGAAGTCTGCCAGTTCACGCTCCTGTCACATGTCATTCCAGAGTCCTTACTCTTAACCATTTTTTGTTTTCTACAGTAACTATTTAAGTGAACTACTTTGAAATCACACTTAAGAAGAGATTTTACAAGTTTATGCATTACTTTGCAACAGATAAGTCCTAGAAGCAGCCCAGAGTATTCACTTGGGACCTGGAGATCAAAATTCACTTCTCTTTCTCTGCTGCATATGATTTATAACCTTAGGCTCCACAGTCTATGCAAAAGTTGGGATTTTGAAAGAAGCCAAGGAAATCAAAAGAACCAAATACCATCTCTTAAACAGGCCCACTTGAAAATTCTCTTTCAACCCTCATTCCCCACTTATAAAATGCTGATGCATTTTACAAAAAAGAATTAGCCCAACCGTTTATTCTAACTCACAGGATGTTGAAAGGAAAATTTGATTAAAACTTGTGAAGCATTTACACAATGGTAATAGAGGTCATATTACTATAGCAGATGCTGAAAATAACCTACACGATGGCTGAGGTGGGAAGGGACCTCCAGAGGTCATCCAGTCCAAACTCCCTGCTCAAGCAGGGCCACCTAGGGCCGGCTGCCCAGGGCTACGTATGGATGGGTTTTGCCTGTCTCCATCGATGGAGACTCCACAACCTCCCTGGGCAACCTGTGCCAGTGCTCGGGCACCAGCACAGTAGAAAAGTATTTCTTGATGTTCAGAGGGACCCTCTTGTGTTTCAGTTTGTGCCCATTCTCTCTCTCTCTCTCCCCCTTGCCCTACGTATGTATATATGTATATACAAGTATAACTGCTATATAGATCTATGCATCTAAATCTATACAGCGATGTATCTAGATCTATAGACCTACTATATAGCTATAGCTATGTATCTATACACAAGTACAGCTTACCTACTTACATCATTTTAAATTGTGTCCGAGGGAAACATTTCTAAATTTATACTGAATTCCCACTAAGCTATTGTGCAGCTGTGCACACAAATGCTGCTCAACAGTGGATTAACATCAAAACAGAAGACTACAAATAAATGTTTGCTGCTTCTTCAAACTGAGATACAGAAGTTCACATTAAGTCAGTTAGTTATGTTGTGCATGTATTTCCATGCATCCAACAGCTTGTGTATTTTTTGACGTTAGTAAGCTAATAAAATGTTACATTTATTTAAAAATGAAAATACCTGTAACAAAGCAATTTTCTGGTTCCTGTGTTTGGTTCTCTGAACTGCATCATTTGAGGACTCATTGACTTTGATATTCCACCAAAGGATCAGTCTTACCAAAACCAGGTTTACGCTACCCTGTAATATTCTGACTCAGTCTTGTGGATTGTAGTTTATTCTCCCTTAAAAGCTCAAATTCTTTCTGCCATCACGTCTTACGCCAAGCAGTGTCTTATCTCCCACTCTGCAATTAAGATCTGTGCTGGTGAAGATCTGCAGCTCTACAGGTGTCCTGTAACTCCAGTAAGAGCTTAGTGTTAGACCAGTGGTCTGCCAACGTGCATCCAATCCCAGGATTTTGAACCCAGCGTTCTCAGGAGGGCAGACAGATCATATGGCACTGTAGATGTGTGTTACAGGGGGACCATAGGGCACCTACGCTTTACACTGCTGAACAGCAACCAACATGGCCCGCGTGTCTTCTTTTGGTGTAAATGGCTTTGTTCAATACCTGCTTCTATTTATCTTTCTAAATTCATCTTTTTTTCATACCTGGCAATTCTATTCAAGAAAAAATGTAATGAAAAACTGGGTCAGAGGAAAGAAAGTGTAACTTCAGAGAGAGACTGTAGTTTTAAATTTAATAGATTTACATGTGTGCGTGTCCACACGTGTTCTCGTGGTGATCAGACTTCTCACACAGCTTTGTCATGGCACAGACTTATTAAACATCACAGGTTCAAGGGACTGGTCGCACTTGCTGGTACTACAGATAACCCCAGTTTTGCACTATTTGACACTTAAGGAAAGTGTGACATATTACTGGTTAAGATGACTTACAAACCTAATTAGCAAAGTGTTTCCTTCTTCAAAGATAATGAAAACAGAAAGAAATCTAAGAAATCTGAGTAGATGGAGGGGGGGGGGAATGAAACAAAGGGAAATGTTTTCCTGAGAGCACAGCAAGGTTAAAAGAAAATGGCCATGCAGCTCTTTGAAGTAGCCACAAGAAGGGTTTTAAAAGAAACAGGGAAGGAAGCATGGATGCTGTGGGCAAGAGAAAGTTCCAGGCTTATGGGACAGCATGAAAGTGGATTTGAAGACAGAGCAAATACACAAAGGTTGAAGTTTATGATGGTGATTGCCTGAACTGAAAGAAATTCGAGGCCAGTGACAAGAATTGCAGATAAACAATGCCCATGGGTCTTAACAAATGCCATCTTTCCCCTAGACATCAACATTACTAGCTAGACTGAAAAATCAAGTAAGATCTGTGTTTTCCCTTATTAGTCTCAGGCTGACCAATGTTTGCAGCTTCAAAGTACACCCGAGAAAACTTAAGGCTATTTTTACAAGCTCAATGACTTCCTAGAACAAATTTTTGGACAGCTTTCAGACCATCTTTCATGCAATTTGAAGTACTCTGCAATACCATTTTGTACCTTATTTTTGTAATGTCAAAATTACCGAATGTCATCTGCCTTTCTTACATTGGATGCGGCTGAATCCATTAGACAAATATTTCCTCATAATTAGACTTGAAATGTGATATATGAAACTTACTCAGAACCACTATATACTGGAAAGGCTCAAAAATTCAACAGCTAGATCAATACAGAATGATTAATAGAAAAATTGCACATTAAGCCATATTCTGTAATACAAATGGTCATCTTCTTTTCCAGGATTTCATTAGATACAGAAAACTGCTACGTATGTACATTTTCTTCCAGTCTATTAATTTCTGCTTGTCTCTAAACCATGTTCCCTCAATCAAAACATTTAGAATTTAGAAACAGTATTCTGCCTTTTTATTGAAAAATTTTTTGACTTTACACTTGGAATTGAAGAAAAGCTAAGCATAGATAACTTATAACTATCACGTTAAAATTTTTCAGTTCTTAGTTGTTTTTTAAGAGTATTCTGTTGGCTATCAGTTAGCAGAAGTTTGAGGTTTACAAAGAAGCTCTTCTGGTCATCCTTCCTTTCCTAATAGCACCAAGAATAACATACTTGCAAAGCCTTACAAGACCCAATTTCCAAACCAATGAAGAACTCGAAACCATCTATTCCAGGTGCTAGTATTTATCACAACCCCAACTATATGTCACCAGATGTGAGCACCACGAAAAAAAATTGGTTTAGATGTCATGTTATGCTTGGAATGTATAATCAAAGGCTGCATCAAGCACCAAACTCTCTACCATCCTACCATTAAGACCATCATGAAGGATAGTATCAGCCTGAGGAGTATCCCTGACTGCTGCTTGACAAAAACTACTGACTCCTTAACACTTCAGCAATCCTCAACCTCTGATGAAAAAAAAACGGTGGCTAAACCGGGGTCAGTCACTACCTTATGTGCTGGTGATTTTTATCTCCAGGATGTAAGAAAAGGAAAGGCCTTGCTTTGCATCTCTCCATATGGGAAGAGGCTATTTTTTTCTCCCCATCAGTACTAGCATTTCTCTGCAAATCATAAGCTTTACACTGTGCCAAAAGGTAAACCAGAGACAAGCCAATTTCCTAATGGTTCTTCCACTGCTATTTGGTTATATATTACTTAGGCTGTTCTACAGTGCGTTGTCACTGTACCATACCACTGCCTTCTATCAGTGAGCTATATGGTTATGCCAC